AATCAGGTTAACCTTTTGCGGGGAATTTTCCAAAAAAAAAAAAAAAAAAACAGCCGCCACAGAAGCAGTTTCTTGTCCCATACTGTCTCTTTGATGAACACAATCACCAAAGTAAGCTTTAAAACACATTAAAACACTTGTTTCTTACTCTAAAAAACAAACGAAAAAATTTGGCAAATATATCCACATATCGTTTCTTTATGCCTATTTTATTTAACCTAATGTTTATATATTTATACTTTAGGCATGTACGCTGTGAGCGCTTGAAAACCGACGTCGAAAATGTCTGGTTTTTACATTTAATTTCGGCCAATGAAGTTATTCGGATTTTGATTCTCTGCTATCTGCACTCGATTGCTTTCGCCTGGAGTGGATCACAGAGCCGTGGCTGCCGCTGATGCAACCTGCTGTCAGGTCCACTCAGCCGGCTGTTTCTCTCCTCCGAAACTCATTTTAAGAGTACCAGTTCACAGGTGAGTGGTCAGCTGTCAGGATTTTATCTTAAAAGTAAACTAACACGTAAGTAAAGCTAACGTTAGCTGAACAGATAGCATTTTCCTTGCCACCGACTCGGTAATGTTAGCTGCACATGGTTTTGTAGCTAACTAGATGAAGTCTTAGCTTCCTAATTCATTCATTCAGTATTTAACCGACCTGTCTTTGATGCGAAAGTGGAACTTGCTTATTTAAGCGAAGCTAATAAAGATGAAATATGGAATAAAAATGAGTGCTTTCGTGAATATTTAGGGGGTCGAGGTTTGTTTAAGGCGTGCGTCATCATTCCCAGTGTAATCCTGCTGCATGAAGCTGTTACTAAAAAAAAAAAAAAAAAAAAATAAAGTTTTTACTACACAGTAGTGATAACTCTGACCATATGAACTGACAGCTTCTTGTCACAAAGCCCGGCATCATGGCAGGTCAGCTCAGTCCGGAGGAGAAGTTCAACCTCATCACCAGGAACCTGCAGGTGAGCAACAACCCGCGTCATGCGTCGCTCTGGACAGGAAGCCTTCCTTCATGCCAGTCGGTGTCGTGATGCCTCTGCTTGGGTCGCGTTGCAGGAGGTCCTCGGTGAGGAGAAGGTGAAGCAGGTTCTCCAGGAGAGGGAGCTGAAGGTTTACTGGGGCACGGCGACCACTGGCAAGCCGCACGTGGCTTACTTTGTCCCGATGTCGAAGATAGCAGATTTCCTGAGGGCCGGCTGCGAGGTAGGGACAAACAAAAACATTAACATTAATTTTAGCATTAACTTTATCTACTTGTTATTTTTGTTTTTGTTTACATCAGTCGTCCAAACTTTTGCTTGACGATAAATTGTCCCAGAAGTTATCACGATAAACGATAATATTGTTTTGAGAGCATTTTCAAGAAATATCCCTGTAATGATGCAAGAGCACATTCTCAAAGATCAGTTTAAAATCTAGAGAACATTTAACACTGGAAGTGGAAGACATTTGAAATATTCAAATCGAATAAACAAATAAAATGAATTATGAAGTCTATTAATAGAAATTATCCTTCAAAAGAAGGGGGCTAGTTTGAAGACTTTTATTACCCAGTTCTTGGAAGAAAAATAGAGAAAAGAGAAAAATGATAAATCAAATGGAAATTATTGAGCTCATCTTACTTTATCATGCGATTAATTGATTTATTTCTTACTGCGACAGGCCTATTCAACAGTGAAACAAACTGAAAGTGAAATTAGGAGTTTTAGTTGCACCATCAAAAACATGGCTGTTTTTTTCCCCACAACATCTCCTGATAAATGAAGCGAGGTAAAAGATAACAGTTATTTTGTGGATTAACTTCAGTCACTTTATCTGACATTATCTTCAAAAGTACCAAATTTGTCTGTCAGTTGCAACACCTGCCAATTTGTGCCATTATAATCCCAGTTAAGCCTGGCTCAGTAAGCCATTAATCACATGACACATTGAAATGACCTCAATATAATTTCCATTCCGGTCGACTAACATTTTTTTCATGTTCACGTTTTGCCGTCTCTTCCGATCCTCAGGTCACGATCCTGTTCGCAGACTTGCATGCCTACCTTGACAACATGAAGGCTCCCTGGGAGCTGCTGGAGCTCCGGGTGAAGTACTACGAGCAGGTGATCAAGGCCATGCTGGAGAGCATCGGCGTCCCTCTGGAGAAGCTGCGCTTCATCAAAGGCACCGATTTCCAGCTGAGCCGGTCAGTTTGACCCAGTAGTAGCATTTTCCTCCAATCCCCCGCCCAAACTAGCGCTTAGCCTCGTAGCTGAATTTTGTTTCTGTCCTGTGACGTCGGATAGAGAGTACACCCTGGATGTGTACCGCCTGTCCTCCATGGTGACCGAGCACGACGCCAAGAAGGCTGGAGCTGAAGTGGTGAAGCAGGTGGAGCATCCTCTGCTGAGTGGGCTTCTCTATCCCGGACTACAGGTAACAACTAAGCGCGAGTATTTTTGTAGTAGTTTTCTTCACATGTAATCGTATTTCATCCACAGACTTCAGTTTGTTTCATCTGGACTTTGTGTGAACAAAATTAGAGATGCACCGATTTGATATTAAATCGGTCTCGATATTTAAAAAAAGTTTTTGATCAGGTATCAGTGACGATCCATAAGGGCAGATCCATTCAATCTAGTTGTATTCTTTGCACTCTGAGTGCTTTATCATTTATTTAACATTATATTTAGAATTCCTAGTTGCACTTTCTGAACCATTTGAAAGGTTTGAATAAATATTTGACCAAGGTAGTCAACCTGTTGTTTTTCACAGTTTCAGTTTTGTTATTACTTATTTTGCATTGTCTGTTATACTTCTAATTGCACTGATTGAACAAATTAAAGTTGTTGTTTTTTTTGTTGTTAATACGTTTGACCAAATGTGTGAAGCTATTGGTGTATTTAAGTGTGCTGTACTGGTGCAGAATTATTAAATAAATTTGTAATTCTGTACATTTATGCCTGTGTTAAAAAAAAAAAAAAAGAAAAAAGTCAACTCAGCACCGTTTCTCTGTATTGTGTTGGTGGTATTGGCCGATACCAAACCTCAGATATTGGTAGTGAAGTGAAAGTGAAAAAAGTAAATCGGTGCATCCTTAAACAAATTAACGCTTGGTTCTCAAAAATTCAGCCCCCAGCAGCATCATGCCGTGGGGATGATTTTTTTTTTCTCAGCAGAGAAAACAATTAAAATAAATGTATTCAGTGGTATATTGGTATCGGTACCAATATCTGAGTATTAGTGTCTTTGAGTATTTAGTTAAACTGTTGACAATTTTCTCAGGCTTTAGACGAGGAGTACCTGAAAGTTGACGCCCAGTTCGGAGGAGTTGACCAGAGGAAGATCTTCACTCTGGCCGAGAAGGTAAAACTCAGCTCAGCTATGATGGAATTAATTTATACAAGATGTTAGAATACGTCCAAATAAGCTCCAATTTTGTCCCTTTTTTTCTCCTCAGTACCTTCCCTCTCTTGGTTACGCTAAACGATCACATCTGATGAACCCAATGGTTCCAGGACTGACGGGGGCTAAAATGAGCTCCTCAGAGGAAGTAAGGCTGTGTCCAAACACTCTGTTGAAACATTTTCTGCCAGTCTTTTATGCTAATATTCAACGCATGCGCTTAGGAGTCAAAGATCGACCTGCTGGACTCCAAAGAAGACGTGAAGAAGAAGCTGAAGAAGGCTTTCTGCGAGCCGGGAAACACCGACAACAACGGCGTTCTCTCTTTTGTTAAATACGTCCTCTTTCCTCTACAAGGAGGTTAGAAAGCTGATTAATTTCAGTTGTTTTTCTTTCATTGTTGTTGTGAACGTCGTCTTCACAGCTTGACTTGATTTGCGGCACCGGTGTGTTTCAGAGTTCTCCATCAAGCGGGATCCAAAATGGGGCGGAGACAAAGTTTACACGGACTTTAAAGAGGTGGAGGACGACTTTAGAGGAGAGGTACAGCTACATTTATCTGGTCCCATTAGATAGTAAGCAGCGTTCAAACAGGTTTTTTTTAAAGTCTAAATTTAAAAAAACTTGTCATATAACGGTGAATTGAAACTTATTTAGTTCATTTGTCCTGTTTTTATTCACAAAGTTTGAAAACTTGCCTTGAAAGTCCCTGTGGGTAAAATGTACGAACCCCAGTTAACGCTTTCCTCATTGTCAGATGATCCATCCCGGAGACTTGAAGGCCTCGGTGGAAGTCGCCCTGAATCAGCTCCTGGAGCCAATCAGGAAGAAGTTTCAGTCTCCAGAGCTCCGCAAGCTCACCAACGCTGCTTATCCCGATCCGTCCAAGACAAGTCAGCGTTTAAACCGCGACAAAAACAGTCCCACACGAAGCCTGGACGCTTCACCCTAAAACCTTCTTTTATCCGGTTGGTTAACAGAAGCAGGAGGAAAAGGCGCTAAGACGGCCGGAGGCGGCGGAGGGGACGATGACGAGCTGGCGCCCTCCAGACTGGACATCAGGGTGGGGAAAATCGTCAGCGTGGAGAAGGTTAGTGACTTGGACCGTCGACGCATGCCGCTAAACGAGCCTCGGCTGTAGCTGTGATGTTGTAACGCGCGGAACCCGCAGCATCCGGACGCCGACTCGCTGTACCTGGAGAAGATCGACGTCGGGGAGCCGGAGCCCAGGACTGTGGTGAGCGGGCTGGTGGCCTACGTTTCCCAGGAGGACCTGCAGGACAGAGCCGTGTTGGTGCTGTGCAACCTGAAGCCGCAGAAGATGCGAGGGATCGAGTCTCAAGCCATGCTGCTGTGCGCCTCCATGTAAGCAAGTCGACTAAACCTGACGGGGCAGCCTAAAAACGCCAGCAGGACCAGGGTTATAGTAGTTCTGGGTTTTTTTTTTTTTAGTTTTTTTTTTTTCTTTTGTGACTTTTTGTCCAATTCAGTTTGTTTTAGTTAGTCTTTATAGTGAGCTTGCCAGTTTTTATAGTTACAGTAGGAGTTTTAGTTTTTTCAGATTTTGATTGTTTTGAATTCTGCGCCTACAAATGAACCAAAGTATTGTATTGCTATTATGTACACATGGATTAATACTCAACAGAAGACACCATTCCCATAAAATGGATTCAGTTATTGTTGGAAAACCAAGTTCTGTCAGCATTTTGCGGACTAAATGCCACCAGGAGAATTATGTGCCGTGTGCTGAGTAAAAACATAATGAATTTCACATCAGTTTGAAAGGCTGATAAATAGATTCATGATAAACACAACCCTGTGGTTTCTCTGTCTCCAGAGAAGGCGAGCCCAGGAGGGTGGAGCCTCTCGACCCTCCAGAGGGTTCTTCGCCAGGGGAACGGGTCTTTGTGGAGGGCTACGAGTCGGGGAAAGCGGATGAAAAATTGAACCCAAAGAAGAAGGTGTGGGAGAAACTGCAGGTACGTTCGAGCCCCGTTACTGAGTCAACGTTCGGACACATTGTCCCCGTCCCATAACACACTGATTAACGTGGCGTGTCGTCCTACAGGCGGACCTGAAGATCTCAGACGAGTGTGTGGCTCAGTGGAAAGACAGGAAGCTGCTGACCAAACTGGGACAGATCACGTGTAAGACGCTAAAAGGAGGCAACATCAGCTAAATACTCACATGGACTCCCGTCGATCGTCAAAGCTGCTCCACAAATCTCCATGGCAACACCACGAAGCTTCATCTGGATGTCTTTGGAAGGGTGAAGGGGTATTTCTGGCTAAATAGACCAACTGCTTTATCTTGACTGAGGACAAAGTATGAAGTCATTTGCTATGACTAACTAATTAATCAAAGTTTGTTACTTACACACTTAATGTATTTGTACAACAAATATTTGACTGAGTGGAGGTATGGGACAGTGATCAGTTTGCTCCTTTCTAGATCTAAGTAATGATATCTCAGGTTTTTGAAGGGGAACTCAACGTTTTGGTATTTTTCTGGGTTAAAAGTGTCAAGACAGAGGTCAGTCTGCCAAATCTGATTAAAAGGGATCCTTTCAAACTTTCTATACACCTCATGTATGTAAAATCCATATGCCTCTAGATGGAAGACGGTTGTACACAGAAATCCATGTCTGATTATCTGATTGTCTGATTAATGCATCATCTGTAAAATGAAATAAACACTGGCAGAATCAGAGATCTGCTGGCAATAACTGTTTTAATGTGGCTGATTAAAAGTCTCAGCTTGTTGATGTTAACCCATAAACTAGAGATCCTCAAATCCAGGCCTCAAGGGCTCCGCTTCACCACACCCAAGTCTTATAATCAGGTCATCAGCAGAATATTGGAGAAGTAATTCAACTACGTGATTGAGGTGTGTTGAACCAGGGACGGATCTTAAAGTTGCAGAACACCGAGTGTCGAGGCCCAGATTTGAGTTCTCCTGCCAAAGACTCTGCTGAATTAAACAGTCTTTTAGTCTTATCTTCAGAGATGCACTTATTAGGACACAAATTGACTGGAGTCTCCAAATATATCTTACACATATATCAAATATATGTTTACTTTGATCAAGTAAACAACTTTAGATACCAGACAAGGCTAAAGACCGGAGGATATCCGTTCATCCTTAAAGCAAATGTAAAGGTTTAAATTGATGTAGCCAAAATTAAGGCCTTAAAATGTCTTAAATTCATTTAAAAAAGTAAGTTGGTTTTTAATATCAGAGGTTTGAACTTTTGTCTTGACAGGACTGTTTAATCTCACATAATTCTGTATTTTTTTCCTGGCGGTACTTTTCTGTCTGACAAAAGCTTGAGTCACCCTCAGACATCTTTGTCGCCTTCTGTGACTCGAGGCTACCGCTAGCTAGCTGCTAACGTACCCTTGCTACCATCTAGCAAGCTTTTTCTTGGGCAGGTGGAAATTTATCACCAGTTGACTGGATGAAACTGTGGAGAGATGCATCTTAAATTACATTCATAATGGTCTTAAAAGTCTTATATTTGAGAGGGTGAAATCTGCAGAAACCCAAGACTAAAGCATATTTACCTGTCGTCATAGCAGTTTGATGGAGAAAACGTCCAGATAGTGATGTATGCCTTCACGTAAAAGCATCCGATTCATTTCACTTCCACACATCAGTGTATTTTTGAAACAATGAACAAAAGAAACATTTGACACAAGTAGAATTTATTAATAGAAGTAATAACTGTACATGATTCTTTATAATCACCAAAATGGAGATTTTTTTTTAAACACCCTTTACAAAGAGTCAAGAATTGACTTTATATGATTCCACTGGGGAAGAAGGGTTTTTGTGCAAACAGTGATGAGCTTAATTCTCCATTCCAAAAGCTTAAGTCAAAGTTTTAGGAACAAAATCTTTTAATAAAAATACCGAACCAGCTCCAGTGTATCAATTTCCCAAGGCAAGTCACCAGATTTGTTGCTTCAAAAGTGGTTTTTATTTAATATTTGGTAGGAAAAGGTGATTTCCAATGCTCCTAGTGGAAAAAGAAGTCTAGTTGTTTTGCTGCTTTATACAGTATTGTAAAAAAAAAAAAAAAAAAGTATTTGCACCTTTACCAAATTCCTTTGTTTTAGATTTTTGTTTGTCATGCTTACATGTTTAAGCTAATTGGAAATACATCAACAAAGACAACCAAAGTAAAAAAAAATAATAATTTAAAAAAATGCTAAAAGGTCTTAAAAAGTAAGAAATCATGCCTCAATGAAAATAAATTTCCTGACATCAGTCTGAAAGAGGGTTACAGAGATCTCTCTAAGGATTTGGTTATTTCAGTGAACCACAGTGAGAACCATTATTTTGACAAGTGAAGTCAAAATATAACTCAGAACATCTAAATCCCTGCATGCCTCACTTGCTTCAGTGAAGGTCAGTGTTCAAGAGTCAAATATAATTGACAGGGCATAAAAATGCATTGATGGGACCAAAACCTAATGCTGACCGAAAAACCTCCAAAGGCCCGTCTTATATCTACCAAAATTTGTTAATGATCCCCAAGACGTCCAGGAAAACGTTCTGTGGACTGCTCAGACAAAGATCATAAAGACAGATGGTGGTAGAGTGACGGCCTGGGGCTAGTTTACTGCTATAGGATCCCAAATTATTTATTTATTTTTGCCATAATTGATGGAACTACAAATTTACTCTCTCCCAGAAAATTCTGATGGGGAATATATAGAGGATAAGGATCCAACACAAGCAGGATAGTCCTCTACTGAATCTCTGTGGAACCAAAGGAAAGACTTTGGAGTGGCAAGACCAAGATTTGAATCCAATTGAGAAGCTGAGGCATGACCTTAAACCTTAAACAGGTGAATCATACTCGGAAAGCCTCCAATACGCACGGATTAGAACCATTTTGCAGTGAAAAGTGGGCCAAAACTTCTTCACTCACTGAGTTATCACAAATACTAGATCGCATTTGTTGCTGCCAAGGGTCTCAAAACTACTGATTTGGTTTACGGGGCAATTACTTTTTCACATAGGGCCTTTATTATCCTTTATTAAAGATTCCCTTTCTTAAAACTCCATTTTGTATTTAGTTGGGTTGTCTTTGATGTTAACATTTCTTCAATAATCTGACCCGTGCTCCTCCTCGCCCCCGTTTTGCATGCTGCATTACTGTAGAGGAAACACTTGAGTGACCTGTTGGCAGATACTGTATTTAAAGATTTTTTTTGCATGTTAACAAATTATCATTGTAGATTTACAAAAGTAATTTTGTCCTAACCAACAAAACATCCCATAGGATTAATTCGTCTTCCCTTTTTTCTTTAATACTTTTACACACAGTGAAAAGCAGGACTAAAACTAAGTTGAGTAATTTCTGTACAAGCATAACCAAGGAGACAATGTTTCATCCTGTCCTTGGTTGGAGACTCTGTCAGTCCCAGTGAGAATCATTACTACGCATTGCTTTTTACTGCAGCATGGGGTTAAAATGTACAATAAACCCCTTTCTCCAACTTTTCTTCTGAGGATGCACTACCTCGTTCAACCTCTGGGAGGCGATCTTACACAAACCAAACTGAGACATTTCATGTTATGTGCATCACTCCACCCTGAGGGGTCCTTAGATTAGATTATGTAGAAAAATACTTTAGAATAAAGCTTTCTTTAGAAGTTGAGGGTTTTAACATGATCTTTTTTTTTTTTTTTTTTTTTTTTTTTTTTTTACAATTTTGAGGGAGCCCTTTAAGGGGTAAGGCTTTTT